TGGATTGGGAAGAATTTCAGAGAAAATGGCTGCCTGGAACCACCTTGCTTCACATTTCTACTAGGGGAATGAGGCCGCGGTGCTGTGTAGGGGGGCGCCCCTACTTCCCCTCCCAGGCTCAGCGCCCGTGTGTAATGATCACAGGCGCATGTGAGAGACGGATGGCGCATCGTGGCAATGTGGGCCCAGCCTCAGCTTGCGGGGGAGGGCAGAGCTCGGCAGGAGGCCTGCAATCCTGGGCGCAGCCTGCTACCCAACGCACATCCCCAGCACCCAGCACAGTCCGCGGCAGCCGCGTACCTGGAACTCGTCCCCGTCCTGGGCGCGGCTCCTGGTGGCCGCATTCCGCGAGTGCAGCAGCAGCGCCTGCCCCACTGCCCGCTCCAAGCGCCCCTGCAGCCGCTGCCGCGCGTCCTGGGCCTCGGCCAGCAGCTGCTGCTGGAGCTGCATCCGCGTGCGCTGCGCTTCCCCCTCCAGCCGGCCGGCCTCCTCCTGGACACGCGCCTCCTGAGGGCGAGGGCAGGGTCAGAGGGCCCAGGCTGGGGCGCAGAGGGGCCGAAGGGGCGGCAGCCTAAGGACAGCTCAGCCCACGTGTCTGCTGACTTCTCCTTTCCCCCCAAATAAAGGTATTTACTGGCCACCAACCATGTCCCCAAGGCCATCTGTGGAGCCTCACACAATGCAGGGCCTCAACTTCCCTCTCCTACCACATGGCAAGGCCTGAACACTAGGACTGATGAGGTCCCAAGGCTCAGAGAAGCTGAGCGACTTTCCAGAAGTCACACGGCAGAACCAGGGTGGGAGGCGGGATCTGAGCCTGGGCACAGGCTGGGGACATCATGGAAGCTGTGGCAAGGACAAGGGTCCTGGGACTGCTGTCCTGGCAGGAGTGGGGGGCAGGAAGTGAGGGATCAGAGCTGGGCATGCGCCTCACTAGTGGGTCCCCGGCCCAGCGCTGCAGGCTCAGCGCCAGCTCTGCCACGGGCCTGTGGCCTGCAGGGTGGAAAGGGGAAGCTGAGTTGGTTAAGCCTGTGGGATCAGTTTCAGGGTCGCTGAGCAGCTCAGGCTGCAGGTGAGGGCAGGGTCGGCATCTGGCGACTGGCGGAGGAGGGCCCCTCCTGTCCTGGCCGGGCCAGGGGCACCCCGAGGGCCTCACCAGGGCTTTGAGCAGCTGCCACTGGTGCTCGTCCAGACACGGCGACGCGCCCTGCTCCAGCGCGTGCTGCTCCCGCAGCTCCTGCAGGAGCCTCTTCTTCCCTGACAGCCGCATCTGCGCCAGGGTGGCCAGGGCGTCACTGCGGAGGCCCAGCCTGCGGAGGGCACAGCGCAGGAGCAGCTGCTGGCCCTGCAGAACGCCCTGTGTGGACCTGTGGGGACGGCAGGAGGGCCGGGTCAGCGCTCTGGGCCGCAGAGAGCGAACAGGTGATGCCCAGGGAGCCTGAGCTTGGGAAGGGGCCACTGTCACCTGCCCGCCCCCGTCCTCTCTGCCCAGCCGCTGGCCTGGTGGACAGGCAGCCGCCCGATGTCACCTTCATGACTGTATCATCAGCCCCGTTTTCTAAAGCAGGAAACCGAGGCCCAGAGACGTTCAGTCGTTCACATTCTCAGGAAGCTCAGGGTCCGTGTGCCTCCCTTGCAGGCGAGGACACGGAGGCTGCCTGGAGTTCCCGCAGACGCACAGCCCGGGCCCCTGGGGAGCTGCACTCACTCTTCCGTGAGGCCGCCCAGCCGGCCCAGGACTCCTCGGACTGTGCTCTCCTGCTCCTCCCGCAGCTGGGTCTGCAGCACCGCGGACAGCGCACTGTCCTCCAGCCGCACCTGCACCCAGACAGGGGCCGGAAATACCAGCTTCAGGGCTTTCGCGCTGAACTGCACCCTCAGACCTTTCTGGTTTTTTTTTTTTTTTTTTTGAGACAAGGTCTTGTTAAATCATTATGTAACAGAAAATGTCGATCCCCCGTCACCCCCCGCCAGTACACTTTAGTTTCTTGGTTGCCCAGGTAATAGTTCCTGTTCCAGATCCGGTTGCTTCTGTCTCCTAGAAATGGCTGGTCACTGATGCACACTGTATAAACCAATCCCCAACTGACAAGCCATTCTGCCTCTGTACTTCCTGCTTGCTTATCCCATGTAAGCCCTAGCCCACAGAGATTGGAGCCTGATATTCTGGGAATGATCCCATTCCGTGTCTATTGACATAAACAAATCTGCCTCCAAGTCCTGGGTGCTGTCGTTTCAGTGTTTCTGTTTGTCATCTCATCTCGTGCACTGGTCAGGAAGACTGACCGTGCTGACCTCTCTGGTCACCATTGTGGCCGTCACAGATGGAGCAAGGACCTCTCCAGGTCCCAAGAGGAAGGCACCTCCTCGAGACTTCTCGAATCCCCTCAGAGGCCTGGAGGAGGATTCCTGGCTCCTGCTCAAGTGCGTCACATCAGACCCCAAAGGGAAGAGGTTGCAATCTGTCTTTCTGCCTGCCTGCCTTCCGATTCTGGTAACACCACTAGGGGCACCCTAGTTAGCCTGTCTGTCAGTCCTGCTCAGCTTGAGCAGAAGGGGAGTCTCACCAACTCTCGTTAGTCAGGACCACCTTCAAGGGAAGGGGTCAGAACGTTTAACTCTGAGTGCCTGCTGCATGAAGGTGTGAGTTTGTGGAATGGACAGCATAAGCAATAGGCCGCTCCGTCTGAGCACCAAGACTGGAAGCCCTGGTCGTGGCGGCTGACTGGGCCCTCACCTGCAGTTCCGTGGTGATCAACATATGGCAAAAAGGAGGCCTCACCCCCTCCTTAGCTAAGTCGTGCCTATGTCCCTCGGAGGGGCACAGCCAGGGGGGCATCTTAGTGGTCTGTCTCTGAGGGGCACCTACCCTTTGTCTGTTGTGCCATCATTCAAGGATACACGGCACACATATAGGAAGTCAGAGATGGGAACTAATTAGTTAAAACCCACAGTTGCAAGAAAAAGGGCTTTTACGGAGTTAAAAATGAAACCAAACCACTCTCTGCCTCTCAAAGAAAAGGAAAAGGGGAAAGAAGCCCATTCGTCCTGAGAATTCTGCCTCGGCACCCTCATTGGCTGCTGAAGTTGCTGCCAACACCTATAGCTTCACTCCCTGCTCCCGACTTGTCTACTTCCAGCCAACTGAAGTGGTTCCAGCTAGCCCCTGCTTACATTTGGCCACACAGCAACCCCCATATGCACCTATCCTGGTCAGATGGCCTCATCTAATGCCCACCCGAGATGACTGTCAACAGTTCTTTCTGAGTTCCATATTTTGATTGAGGAAAAATTAGACTGTCAGCCTTGACAAAGGAGTTGTGCCCCGTCAGGCCTGAATAGATAGGACAGACCAAGCTCTACCAAATAGGGCCCCTGGGAGCCTGTGGTCGTTGAGAAAGTCAGTGGCAAACCTGTGACTTTTCCGGTAGACGATGGACCAGAACTCTCTGTCTTCAAAAGTTCCCTCTGTCAAAAAGTTGCCATCACTGGGGCAACTGAGACTCTTGCCTCTCACCATTCTGCCAGGCACAAACTTGCAGCCTGGGAGGACGTCTTGCCAAATATGAATTCCTGTGTAAGCCATTGCATCTGGTGCACTGGTTGGGCCAGGGGCACCATGGGCTTCACCAGGGCTTTGAGCAGCTGCCGCAGGTGCTCGTCCAGACCTGGTGAAGCACCCTGGTCCAGCTCGTGCTGCTCCCACTGCCCCTGTAGGAGCCTCTGCTTCCCCAACAGCAGCACCTGTGCCAGGATGGCCAGGGCATTGCCATGGAGGCCCATCCTGCGGAGGGCACAGCACTTCCATACCACTTCTGAAAAGAGACCTCCTCTTCAAGTTAGAAGTGACCATCTCCTTTGTACCAAGCCAGTCAGCCTCCCTCTCATTTAACCCTGCACTTTCAACTCTGACTGTTCCCGGAAAGGACAATGACATCGGCATCAGCCTGAGACAGATAAGCAAATCCTGGAGTTCTGAAAACTCTCCTCCCAGAGGTATAGACGAGGACTCTCCTCTGAGCCTAACCACTAACCATGCCACCCTACTGTGACCCTGGTTGCTGTCAGATGTCACGGGAAGCACAAACGGACATGCAGCTACACATAAGCCTGACAGACTGTTAATCACCTTGGGAAAGATCTCCATGCCGTCAACAACGCACCCACCACCTTGCATTCTGCAGTTCCCAACCCACGCACCCATTTTGGACTGCTACTCAATCGCCTCAAGGGTTTGGGAACTCTCCCACTATCTTCAGGGAGGCTCTGACAACAGATTTGACCACTCTGAGACAGTCTGTTTCTCTGTTCCTTCCAGCCCCTCAATTCTGTCACTGTCCCCTGGGCCTTGAGATTGGGTGACTGACCACCTGCCTCTGACTGTGAAACTCCATCCCGGGGCAATCCCCACCTTCATCAGTGTCCCATACCACAACAGACTGGGCTAGAAATTCAGCCACACATCCAGAGGCTTCCAAACCGCCAA